GCAATTACAAGTGCAAATGCCAACTTTTCCATAGGAGGGTAGCGCAGTTCGGCATCATGTAGGGCTTTGCTGATGTAATAAACAGGCGATTGTAGCGTTCCTTCTTCACGTATTAAACAACGCTGATCGCAGAGTCACTGACTCCGAGGTACAAGAACAGCATTTCCTCGGGTCTCGACTTCTGTAACGTCGGTGGAGAGGCGAGTGTCTCCTTAATGCTGACGAGAGCCTTTTGGCATTCTTCGGTCCATTCGAAGCGCTTTCCTTTTTTGATTGCTTCGAAAAAAGGTTTGCAACGGTCCGTGGATTTGGAAATGAATCGGTTGAGCGCAGCAAGTCGACCAGTTAGGGCCTGGACACCTTTAACCGAAGTTGGGGGAGTTAGATCTTGGATGGCTGTTATTTTGGCAGGGTTGGCCTCAATCCCGCGCTGGCTGACCATATAGCCCAGAAATTTTCCAGACTCAACTCCGAAGGTGCACTTCTTGGGATTTAAAACCATGGAATAAGATCGGAGGATATCAAACATGCCTTGAAGGTGTGTTATATGGTCAGAAGCGTGCACCGACTTGACAAGCATGTCGTCAACATAAACTTCCATAGTATGACCAATCATCGTGGCAAACATCTTGTTGACAAGACGCTGATAAGTGGCTCCGGCGTTTTTCAGACCAAACGACATCATGGTATAGCAGTACAAACCTCGTGCTGAATAAAACGAGGTGTGTTCGGAATCTTCAGGATCCATGGGGATTTGATTATAACCGGAGTAAGCATCCATAAAACTCATCAACTTGTGTCCCGACGTGGCATTAACCATATAATCTATATGTGGGAGAGGGTAACTGTCTTTCGGGCATGCCTTGTTCAAGTCGGAAAAATCAATACACAGTCTCCACAGGCCATTACTCTTTTTGACGAGGACGGGGTTTGAGACCCATGTCGGGTACTTGGCCTCTTTAATAAACTTGTTGTCGATGAGTTTTTTAACTTCTTTTTCCAGTGCTTGCTGACGATCCGGCCCTAATTTCCTTCGCTTATGCACAATAGGTCGGACAGTTTGATCGAGGTTCAACTTGTGACTGGCGACACCGGGGTCGATGCCCTTCATGTCTTCGTGTTTCCATGCAAACACATCTGAATTCTGTTTGAGAAACGAAATGAGTTCTGACCGGAGAGGCTCATGGAGGTGACTTCCAATACGCAACGATTTATGGAAGATCGGTTCATCGACGTATATCAATTCCACTTCTTCTCCAGGTTCGGCTCGATCATTTCGGCTTTTTTCTTTGAATTGGGCCCTTGGGTCCAACTCGTCTTCCTCGAGGAGTGGCTCCTTTCCTGGCTGCCTACCTCGGTCTTCAGATAAAGAATCCGAGGTAGGAGGAACAACGGTGTTGTAGCTCTGTTCCTCGGACATTACATTATCCGAGGTGTTGCGTTGTGAGGAACGGTCATCATTTCCCGAAGTGATGGAATGGATTCCGCTGGATGGTATAAATGTGACAAGTTCTCGAGCTTCTCTTTGGTCTCCGAAGTGTGTCCTTTCTCCTCGTGTAGTTGGGAACTTTAGCGCGTAGTGAAAGATCAAAACCGCAGCTCGAAGTTTGTACAACGCTGTTCTACCAATGATGGCATTATACTCATTGTTGATGTCAAGAATTTTAAAAGTTTCCATGACGAGCTTAGTGACGTTCTCCAAAGTGCCAAATCTAACGGGTAAAGTGATCTCACCGATTGGCTTTGAAATACTTCCGTTGAATCCTTGTATTTGGTCATTGCAAGGTCGAATGTCGGCAGGATCGAGACCCATTTTGTCAAAAGCTTTTAACATCAAAATGCTCGAATAGGCCCCAGTATCCACCATAACACGATGTACAGGGATTCCGCATATAGGGACGGTGATAACAAGCGCGTCGGAATGAGGGTGTGCGAAATGATTGGCATCCTCCATATTAAAGGTTATGGGACAGTTCCGATTGTTGAGGATGTCTCTCAAATCGGTAGTGTAAACTTGTTTGCCGGAGTTGTACGCTTGTCGGGCATAGGCTTTGATTTGCCGACGGGATGATGTACTCCGGGAGTTATTGGTGGTGACACGGTGGACGGTGATTTGCATAGGTATAGGAGATCGATCTCGCTTACGTCCTCGGGAAGTTCCAGCAGAGTCAGAATTGGATGTTTCCGAGGTGAACATAAATACTTCCTTGTCTCCTTGTCGGATGCGTTTTGGCATAACACCTCGGTCCTCTTCATCGTCATCATCATAAGATTCCATTGGACGCCCTGGGCCTCGTTTCTGAGGATCGGTATTGCGATAGAACTTTCTAAGCTGCGGATGACCTATCAAGCGTAACAGGGCAGCTAACAGACTTAAACATTCGTCAGTATTATGCCCTGGCGATTTATGATAATCACAATACCGGGACTTGTCTAATTTTTCTTCGGGCAGCCGAAGTGGCTTGGAATCTGGTAAGATACCTTTTCCTTTGATTTCTTCATATGTGGCGGCTGCCCCTGCGGAATATACGGTTTGATAACCGGATTTCACATCGGTAGCATACTGTTTTCGGGCTGCTCGAACTTCAGGATCGTTAGGATCCCCACGAGGAGGTCCTCTGAACTGAGTCTTGCTTTGTTTTTCGAAAA